CTTCTTTTGCCATTTCAATCATAAATTCTAGTTGCTATTGAATCTAGCTTTTTTTTTTCTTTTTCTTTTTTCTCCCTCCTGTGCTCAGTAGGGGAAACCCTGGTGGTATAGTGGTTAAGAGCTCGGCTGGTAACCCCCAGGTCAGCAGTTCGAATCCACCAGCCATTCCTTGGAAACGCTGTGGGGCCGTTTTACTGTGTCCTGTAGAGTTGCTATGAATCGGATTCGACTCAATGGCAGCGGGTTTGGTTTTTTTGTTTTATGCTCTGTATAAAAGACTCAAACTTTTCCTTCCTTTTCTTCTACCCATTAATAGTGTAGTATTTGGAGAAGGCAGTTCTCTATTGAGCTGACATGCTACATGAAACATCTTCTTTTGGGCAAGGTGTTTGACTTGTTAGCCAACAGCTAACTCATTTTTAGGGCGAAGTACATTAAACACAACAAAACAAAAAAAAGCAGAGAAGCCTCTTCTCTCCAAATTATATTTCAGCTTATTTCCTACCATATACATACACTTACGGAGCAGGTTAAAAATCATTTAAGAAGCCTAACCCTTATTTTGCTTTGAAAAATAATTAACCTTCTTGATCATATCAACCGTCTTGATCATACTCATACCCTTAAGGGAAAGAGTGCCTTTTCCTTTGGCCTATTTGCTCACAGTAGGCAATCTTCTTAGTGCTGAGTATTTTCTTTCAGCCTAAATGCTAAAATTTCAGTATACAGTCATTAATAGGGATGACAGCTACAGTAGCGTTCTGTTTATACATATTCATGGAATGAAATCCATAGCATTAATTACATTAATTTACATACCTGAATACAAGTGAACCATAAGTTATGGTGGTAACTAACTAAGCCTAAAAAAAAAAAGAAAAGAAAAACCATTAGTAACCATATATTGTATGTTTTCTGATAAATGCTATTTAATAGGGTAGAGGTGACATTTCTTTCAAAAGGCATTTGGGTATTTATAGTTAGAGACGTTTTTAGCTAAGAATTAAAGCACAGTATAATCCTTCAGTTTTCATAGGATTTTTTAGGGTTTATAAGCATTCATTAAAGGAAGAGAGTATAAAGAAAAATGTAGGTAGTTGAACCCAGGAGAAACCTTTTATATAAAGAAGGGAATTAGTGGTTACTTGATGCTTATTGGGGATCATAGCCCTTTTTAGTCTATGAGTTTTAGTTTAACATATTCTTTCAAGAGGGCACATGATTGAAAATAATTCATAATCTATGAGAATGAGGTTTATTTTCACCTAATTTGTGATTGAGAAGCTCGTTTTGGAAGAAAGTTTTGAATGTAGTCAGAATCAACTTGACGGCAACAGATTTAATTTTTTTTGGTATATGTTTAATATGTAGCATAACAGCTACATTGACTTAAAAGGATTTTTAATTTAAGTCAAAATGCCATAACTTGAATTTCTTTCAAAATGATGATTTTAAACATCATCTTTGCCTTGAAGGAGCAGATTGTGTTTATGTTTTCAGCTATGTTGTCTTTGAAACAGAGTACCAGAATTAACTGAAGTTAGCCATCACTGTATTACACAGTGTTCAATCAACATTTAAAAAAACTAACTGAAGCATATTTGGTCACTATAATACTTTAAGCTGATACCAGAAAGATTTTTGCATTAATAAATGAAAAATAAAATTATTCTGAATATTTTTTTGTTTGTATCCTATCTTTTATGATTTCTATTTTTGTGTATGTTTAAAAATATGTATTATGTTCAATTTTATAATGTATATTACTTAGATTTATATATACTTTCATATATATACAAGTAGTAGGATGGAACATACATATAGTTTATAAATGAAATTATATATTGGGGTTAGGTGTTTCAAAATTTGACTGCTAGAATTGTTCAGTCGTGAACAATTATTGGAGACCACTGACTTAAGAGAATGGTGGAGAGTGGAGTAGGGAGATTAGGGCTATCATGTAGCTTATTTCCCATCTACTGTAAGACCTTGACAAGTCACCTGACCTGTAGGGAATATGGCCACCTTACCTTTGTATGCACAGTGGACCACAAAACAGCACAGTGTGGTCCACTGTGAGTAGAAATTGCTGAGAGTCAGGTCCTACTGAAGGCCTCACAAAGGAGTTTATTTACAGAAGACTGAAAAATATCTGACCCCTGAGAGCTGCATTATGGCACAGATCCTGAGTACTTGGTAAATTACTTTCACCATTTGGGAGATAGTAAATCGCTAAACAATCTAAAATTAGTATTATTATTATAGTAATAAACAGAACAAAAAGTAATTACTATCCTTTTGGATGCCACATCTTCTGCTATTTTGTGAATGAGTCAAAATTAGATTTATAGTAAAGGTTCTATTGAAATATCTTACTCTTTCTCTTACTAGATTTCAAATAAAAATATCAATCTCAAATCCTTAATGGCTGTCTTTTGTTATTGCATATAAATCAATCATTTATATGGCCATGCAGTTGCATGAGTTAACTGGTTAGGAAAAATGTATTTCCTACAAGATCATTATGATTATGGCCTACTATGTGTTAATTTTCACTTTTTTTAATGGTGATTTTTTCCATGTGTTAAATTCAGTTTTGGAGTAATAGATCTGTGTTTTCACCTGAGTGGATTGTAATAAAATGGGTATATTGGGATAGTTGAGATTTATAAAATATGTAGTGATATTGTTTGAAGTAATAGTATTTTACTAACTGTCCAGTTTTCCAAGGGTTTCATCTTGACTTTTCTTTTCATCAAACATTACTATTTCCCTTTTTACTATAGAATTTATTGAAACATGACACTGTGGTAAACATAATGAGCTTTTTAAAGATCTGTCTGCAGAGATCACAATCAAAGATTAAGTGTTTAAATATCAAATGCTTTGGTTAAAACAGAAATGTTACTTATTGTGGTATAAAATTTACAGAACAAGAAGCAGATATAACCTTCCTATAGGCTGCTTCCCAAATTGTTTGTAAATATCTGGCTTTGTCATATGTAGCTTAGTTAATTGAGGTTTGAAGAGATTGTATCACATTAAAGCAAATCAGAGTGGACTCATTCACTTTTATCCTCCTTTTAGATTTTGTGCATGGATTCCCGCTCCATTAAATTATTTATTCCAATGAGTGTATCTAAACTTTTTATTAAGGTGTTTGGTTTTTTAAAAGCTCATTTCAAGTCAATATTTTTTAAGTTTTTGTTTATGATAAAGCAAATGTTTTATTCTTTTGTTTCAGACCATTTACATAGAATGACAGATACTTTCATAATGAAAATAGTAAAGAACAAGACTGATATACTAATATAGACAAATTATTATTTCAGGTCCTCTCTTTATTCTATGAGATACCTGTGAATAACATTCTGAATCATAATAGGATTTTTCCCTTTGCTTTATTTTTATCATAGATTTTATGTTAGAACTATGAATATGGCTAGGACAGTAACTTTCAACCCTAACTGGGTATCAGAGTGATTTGTGAAATCTTTTAAAAATACCTAAGTCCTGGCCTCTGGGATTTAATTTTAAAGCCCTGTAGGTGATTCCTTTGCACAGGTAGAATTGAGAAATGCATAGTTGTTAGATGCCATTTAGTGATTTTCAACTCATAGTGACCCCATGTGACAGAGTAGCACTGCCCCATAGGGATTCTATAATCTTTATGAGAGTAGCTCACCAGGTCTTTCTCCTGCGGAGCCACTGAGTGGGTTTGAACTGCCAGCCTTTCAGTTAACAGCTGAGGGCTTAACCATTGCACCACCGGGGCTTCTTGAAGAACGCATAGTTCTAGGAAATCAAGTGCTCAGTGGCATGGGTCAGAAACACCGTACTTAGTAAAGGTAACCTCAGTGGTTGAGCTGCAAAGCCAGCAATAAAGGCAAAAAGGCTCTGAACTCTTGAAATCGTAGTTATTAAAATTTTTCACTTTACCCAAGAGAGAAGCCCTTGAACTTGCTTTATGTATAATTCTGACAATCCTAGTTATGTGATTTCTTGGGCCCTAATAGATGTGAAGAGCCCTAGTGGCACAGTAGTTAAGAGCTCAGCTGCTAACCAAACGGTCAGCAGTTCGAATCTACCAAACTGCTCCTTGGAAATCCTATGGGGTGGTTCTACTCTGACAACTTGACAGCAACGGGTTTGTTTGCTTTTAATTGATAAGAGAAGTCTCTGGGTGGCATAAAAGCCTGGGGGTACTATGCAAAGGTTGGTGGTTAAAACCCACCCAGAGACGCTGAGGAGAAAAAGCCTGGTGATCTACTTCCAAAAGGTCACAGCCATGAAAACTTTGCAGAGTGCAGTTCTGCTCTGACATACATGGGGTCACCATGAATTGGAATTGACTTGACAGCAACTGGTTTGATTTTGTTTTTTAAATAGATAAGAGACAGCAAAATCAAACTAGGAGGGCTGTTAGTAAAAGAAGTAATAGCTGTGGGATGAAGGGAAATAGCAAAAACAGCTGCATTAGCTCTTGGTACAATAACTGATGGACATGATGTTGACCTTATCATTAGAGACGCTAGATTATAATCATTATTCTCTGATTTAGGAATCAAGATAATTTTCGTTCATTTTAGAAAGATACTAAAATTTAAGTTGGTTAAAGTAAAGAAGGGGAAAAAGATTTTATACCTGAAATATTTATGTAAAAGATTCACTTCTGTAGAATAATAGTATATTCCCCAATAGCGGCCGGTAGCTGATGCGTTAATAGGCTCATAAAAAATAGAGAAAATGTTACTATGTGTATTTGGTTTGATGTGGTTTTTAAATGCTAATAATAGAGAGATTTTACAATACATTCCTTCCCTTTTTTGCTACGTGAATATCCTGTTTTCTCTCTTTTCAGAAAAGAAGATGTTACCTTATTAACCACCTCGTTTTTAGGTTTTGTTTTCCCTTATCTTAAAATAACCAAATTGTACCTTTTTAAATTTGCTTTATGGTTTTTTTTTTTTTTTTTTAAACGTGTTTTCTTCTTCCCCCAGCAATCTCACGGGTTAGGCAGGCCTGTCTGGCTCCAGATTGCCGAGTCTGCTTACAGATTCACTCTGGGCTCGATTGCTGGAGGTGAGTGACATGTCTATGTGCTGTTTCAAGCTTGTGTTAATGTAATATTATCTCACGAGGCCAGGACCAATCAGCAGAGGTGCAGCTCATTGTTCCTGCGGGTCATGACTGCGGGGCTTTCTGAAGCGTTCTTTATTTTTACCTATGATCAGAGGACTTGTCACAGCACGGCTGTAGCCCCTCTGGCTCCAGTCTGTCTTCAGGACAAAACCTCTGTAATGATATGAAAGTCTTGGATGCAGTGCTACACTCACATTAATTATACCAGTGAAGGCCAATACGAAGAAATGGAGAACAAGACTGTGGTTATGGTGTGGGAAGCAGGGAGGAAATAAAAATTTGGGGTACAAATCTCAGAACCTCATGAAATAAAACAGCTTCTCAAAGTGGTTCAGTTTTGCTTTTCTGGTTGTATTTTTTTCCTTTCCCCTTTCACTGGTTTAAGAATATTTAGACTTGTTTATTTGCTAAAATGAACCCCCTGCCCCACCAAAATTTGAGAAACTTCTTTTCTTTCTTAAATACTCTACATAGAAAATGTGTAGAATCTAAAGTTGCTTTGTTGAGAAGAACCTACCAGGTGAGATTAAAATACTTCTGATTTTTCTAAAACAAGCCTGAACTAATGAGACTGTCATTTTTTCTTTTCAGTCTCAGTTTTAGAAGTTGCAAAGCATGTTTTGATTTTCAGTTGAAAAGTATCATACTCCAGTTCATGTACTAAATTTTTTAGTCCCTGAGAAATCCTGAAGCATAGATTAATTTTTTGAACCAAAATCTGTCCAAGGAACAGGGTCGTGTTGAGACATTTTCCAATATGATTATAACTAAAGCAATTTACCAAATACTTTAGTAAACTAACATATATAGTCATTTTAAGAGGTAACTGGTACAATATTTAGTCATTTAATGGAAAATATAAGCATGCTATATATAATAGTTTGATATGGTTATTATAGAAAATCAAGTGTTGATTATTTGATGTTGGTATGACTTGATAATCTACACTCTGATTTATGAGCCTGTGCTATTAAAAAAGCATTCTTGACAGTTATTCTGTGAAGCAGTTGTATTTATGGGTCCTAATGGTTGCTAGCCTGTCATCCCTCAACTGTGTTATGGGAGAAGGAAAAATAATAATATAAAGTCTCTTCTGTGAGAAAAGATACTGTTTTATTTTCTAGTCCTTTGAGATGGGATTTGTTTTTCTTTTGGGCTCTCCCTTTAATTGTACTGTTCATTAAACCTAAAAATTGTTCTGTTTGTAGCTGTGGGAGCCACTGCAGTGTATCCTATAGATCTGGTGAAGACCCGCATGCAAAATCAGCGTGGCAGTGGCTCTGTTGTAGGGGAGCTGATGTACAAAAACAGCTTTGACTGTTTTAAGAAAGTCTTGCGGTATGAGGGCTTCTTTGGACTATACCGAGGTGAGTAAGCAAATCTCAGCTGCCAAAGTTAAGTGATTTTAGCTCACCACCAGCAGATTTTAACCTACTCATTATGGAAACCAATGTGTAGCCTGCCCAGTCAGACTAGGGCTGTTTCTCTTTTTTTTCCCCTCATTGCTCGTTTCCTGTTTTACATTCTTGCTGGTGACTAGCAATATTAGTCTTCAAACAGGGTCTTCATTTCTTCTTCCTGCTATTTCTATTTCTTGGACCTCAAATCCTGTGTTTGTCCCAGCAAGGTTCTGTAGACACCGTGCTCTTACAAACTAAGGCGTATGTCTGCAGGTGGAATGCAAGGGCGACAGCTAAGAAATAGGAAGCTTCTTTTCCCAAAGAATTAGAGAGGAGAAATGTATCTCTTCTTTGTGAAATAGAAGCCAGGCTGCTACTTGAAGGTGAGTCTACCCTCTATCCACTTGTTTCAACTGAAAGAAATAACAAAACATGTTTTTGTCTCTTCCAAGGAGACCATTCATGAGTGTTTTCCAGTGAGTCATCTGAAGTTTGAAAAAACAAAAGAAAATCATTTGGCTCCAAGTCTCCTTCTTGCTCCTTTCCTCCACTTAGCTCAGAGGCACAGAGTCACGGCAGAGAGATTTTCTTCTGCAGGAAATGTTACCACCACCTCTAGACTAAGCACAGTATTGTCAGCATCAGAGGCAGCCATCCCAAGCAGAATTCTCCCCGCCCCCATTGGCTTTGTAGGGACTTGTTCTCTTTGGAGAGGGAATGACTTTCATGTACATGTTTTCACATTAGAATTTAGGGTTTCCTTTGGGAGGGAGATTAATTTTTTTAATCCCTTTGGGCGCCACTTGGAATTCTTTGAAAATACCCTCTACATGCTCAAGTCCAGGGCATTTATGTAATTTACTGTATGTGTTTGTTTGCGCACACGGTCTCATTAATCCTCAGCTCATTCTGAGCTCTGTTGAACTGTTTGGCTTAGAACCTCTTCCTAGAAAAGAAAGACTGGGTCTGAACGAAGCTTTTTGCTCATGGACTAGAGAAAAAACACCTCTGGTTAGCATTACATGCAGGTATTCAAGTGAAAAATGTAATCCTGATACACTCATTTGAACGAGAGGGTCATTGGGATGTTTATTTTTGGCATTATATATAGAATAAGAGAGGAGAGTTGTTCTGAAATCAAACTGAAACTCAGATACCCTGCTCCTGAGATTTCATGCAGTTTATTTTGCTGAAACGTCTGGAACACTGGCCTCTCTAAATTCCAGCTGTACACGTACGCTGCGTAGGACGAGGTGTGCCTTGTCCAGAATGCAGATCTGTGTGTAAATGCTTGTTTTAAACTGTATTAATCCTTGCACGTCTAGATTCTGTTTAACGGGGAATCTGAGGGTTTGGGTGGCAGTAAGGCAGTTTTTTTTCTTTGACATCTCCAGTTTTTCTTTGTCGAATAATGACCTTTGTCCTCCTTGGTATGCTTTTAAATTGCAAAGAAAATGTCATCTATTAGAAAGAACCTCAATATATACGGCACAGTTTAGCCTTCTTAGTGAATGGCTGCTTACAGAAAATTTCACTGGGGAGAGACATCATGTTAATTAAATGGACCCAATATAGAAAATGGAGGAGGATTGTGGGCTGCTGATAAAATCAGTCCTTTAAATGAGAGTATTTTATATTAGGGAAAAGATTGTAGGAGTCCTGTATGTGAACACTGTAATTATTGAGAGTGTCATATATTGCTTAGAACTGGTCTATTATTCTGTCAGGTGATTGACAAAATTGTTGACAGATTAGCCTAAATTTCTTTGCAGGCAACAGTGAGATGATAAAATGACACAAATCAGTACTTTATTAAAATTCTATGAGCTTTATTGAGGCAAGTTGTAAAACAAATACACACGCTGACATGGTTGTATGAAAGTTAGATTAAAAGTAATAGAGCCTGATAATCAGGAAGGTTCGAAAGTTAAGACTGCCATCTGCTGATTTATTCTTTTAAATCAGTCTGCTGCCCTTTAAAGGTGTGTGCAGATTGTGTGTTTGTCACTGATAATTCAGTTTGACTGACAGTAGCTTATATGTACGAATACTTCTGGCTTTCAATTCATGGAAAATCACTCAGCAGCATCCTCAAAGTAGGCTTAAGATCAGCATTGAGCGTGCAAACACATACCTAACTCCCTCTTGGCTGGGTGATTTAAGGGATACAAAACATTTATTGCTGGCATCTTTAAAAAAATGTATGCTGACAATTTGGATAAGCTGTGTGTTTTAGAAAGCTGAGCCCTATGAATATCTACAGATGTTGAATTGTTTATATATATTTTTTCTTCTCCAGTTTGTAGTCAGCCTGGGAAATTTAACTTTCTAAGAATAATGATTTCCCTTGTTTTAAGGGGATTCTTTTGAAATCTCTGAAGTTTGACATCTATTAGTAAATAAGAATACAATAGGCATGTCTTTTTTGCTTGTAGAAGATATTCATTAAATGATACATAAAACTGCATTTTTCTTTGCTGTTTTGCCTTCCTTTTAACAGAATGAGTACTGAATTCTGGGTTTCTCTAAAGAGAAAATTATGGGAGTTGATATTCTATAATAACCAAGCCATTGCATACTATTATATAGATCATGTCATTGCAGCAAAGTCTGGGCCTATTTAACAGTATACTTTTCAGAGATTTTCTAAGCATACGGCATTAGTTTCTCTGAAGTGCCTGTATGTTTGTATGTTGTTGGTTGTAACAAAGGAGGGAATTTTTCACGTTCTTATTGGCAGTGTTCCTGGGTAGAGAAGATCCAAGGCTCCATTTCTTCCTTATGTGCTTTTTGGGAAGCGTTAGATAACTAGGCTTCAAAGGAAGCATCCTTAAGAAAAGGATTTATAGCCCCAAGAAAACGTGATGTTATACTTGAGTCATAAATAATTATTTACATACATATACAGAGTTTATGAAAACCCTAAAATGTTTGATGGGTAAAAAATATGGGGAAAAACATAGTTCCTTGTTGGGCTTGTGTGTTCATGTGTAGTACGTCTGTATTGCTCATGATTCTTTTCGTTTCCCTAGGTCTGATACCACAGCTTTTAGGGGTTGCTCCAGAAAAGGCCATTAAACTGACTGTAAGTTTCTTTCTTAAATTACGCCGTTGGTGTAGATTATCATTAATCCAAAAAATAAAGCTGATGCTGCTGAGACTGGCACACTATCAAGGCATTTGTAAACATTCAAGTTCATACATAGAGATTGCCATTTTTAATTTTTTTTATGAGACAAATGTTTTGCTGGCTTGGAAAACCAAAAACAGGCAGTAGAGGAAATGGTTGGCAACTCAGGTTAACTGATGTTGTCTTTCTAATTAGGTTAATGATTTTGTCCGGGACAAGTTTACTAAGAGAGATGGATCCATTCCACTTTTCGCAGAAATCTTGGCTGGAGGTTGTGTAAGTATGAATCCTGGGCCCTTCTCACCTAGGAAAAGGCAAATAGATTTCTCTAACCTTTCTGCACATTAGATATATGTGACATTTCCCCTGAACTCAAGGGATTCTGTGTGAGGAAATCTTCTGCTTATATGGAATGATCGTTTTCGTTTTGTTGCATAATCTGACTGGTTTGGAGTGCAGAAAAGAGGTAGCATCTTCCTCAGTCTGTTTCTTTGACACTCCTTAAGTACTAATCTTCCCAATTTTTTTTTTTAAGTTCTTATTCTGATTCCTCTTAAATATCACAGAAAATAGAGTACCATACGTGAAGTCACCACACATTTATATTGACTGGAACTTTAATATTTATATTGACTGTGAGATGGCTGATTAATTGGGCCCTTCTATTTCAGGTGTAGGACCAAAGAAGACCTTGTGGTATCATTATACTTTCCTTCCTCAGGGACAGTAGAGTGTGGCAAACAACTATACTGAGGCTGTTGACAAAACTCCTGAACCCAGAGATTTGGATTATATTTATTTAGAGAAAACACACGGTTTCTATCTTTAAAGTGTAAGCATGATACTGGATTTAGATCAAAGTTCAAATCTAAGTTTCCAGCTCAACTTTGGCAGTATGTAACTTGTTTAAGACCAGTTTAGTCCATTTTGTTCCTGAAAACATTAATAACTTCCAGTTGAATTGGCTGACAGGCTTGGCTAAAACCTCTTCAGTTGGTTTTGAAACCTGAGGTGATGAGGTTGATGACCTTTTCAGCTTTTAATTCAGGGAGGATGCCCTGGAGGTCAGAGGGAGAGGCTGCTTCAGGTTCTGGGTGATGAGATTTGTCAGCATGGCACATACCTGAATCCTCACCTGTCTGCAACCAAAGTTCTTGTGGAAGAGGTGACTTGGGGTGGGTGGGGGTGTGTGTGTGCATGCACGCGCATGTGTGCATGTGCACACAGATTCTCAGGAAGAAAAATCACCTGTTTGGTTGAATATTTTGTTTCATGAAGGACAAATAATGGATAATTAGACCTTTGCTTTGGTGGATCACCAAAAATATTTTCTTTTCTCCCTCTTCTCCAATTAGATGCTGCAATTGTTTCTCTTCTGATGAGAGAGCCTTTGTATATCATAAATATTTTTCTCAGTGGTTTTAGTTTCCATTTGACTAGGAAGCTTCCTACATCATTTTTACCACAGCACGTGCATACATTTACCAGACATCTAAGTCATGCTGTTTCTGTTTTGTGTAGCTAATTATTTGTTTCCATTTGTGATACCTTGATGTTTTTGCCCATGAAACTGACCCATTCTCATGTCTGACATGTGACCTAAGTGGTTAAAACACCATCAGATATTTGGTCTTTTTGTTCTTCCTAGGTGTGGGTCCTGTTTATAGGTTTGAACTTCAGGAATTTCTGTTGAAGGCTGGGGTGCCTTGAGGGTTCTGCTGACACTCTAATTCTCTTCTTTAATCATGACTCATTTCTGGAAGCTTTGATGGATTGTCTAGCTGGAAATTGACAGCATGAAAAATAGTCAGGTTGAGCAAGATGATTTTCTGCTTCCCCTGCACCTCTAAATCTCTTCATTGGAGAGAGGAAAGAAAATATACATTTGTTGAGTTTCTACTGATGAATTGAATCACGCTGCAGTGTAAATGATTGTTAAAGCTTAATTGGTTACCTCTCCCAAAAGTCTGTGCATTTCAACAAAAAGGAAGGGTCTCTATTTATAGACTATGAGGCACCATGGGATATAGGAACATTCTTTTTCCTGGATGATACTTGGTAAGCACCCACCAGGTCAACACTAGGAAGAGTGGCCACCGTGATCCTGATACTAAGAATCCTTACCATCCTTGGAGGTGGTGATGATATAATGCGCAGTGTCCCTGTGGGTGTTTGACTGAATGCTGTTAGTGGCACCAGATGAGAAGAGTGCTGCTGTTCTTCCGAGAGGTACCCAATGTGTTAACCTAATACAGGTTAATTAGGAAGAAATGACTCAGACTTTGGAGTGGTCAGTACTGGCTTCATAGGTTTGTTCTTAGCAGAAAGATTAGCTAGGACTAGGGGCTTAAGTTCTCTGTATGTGGGAGAAAGAACCCTGGGCCCCTGTGAAAATGATTATGTTGCCCTTTAGGAAAAATTGTATTCATTGACAAGATCATGAAGTGGCCAAGAAATAAAAATCTCTGGTCCTTGGGCATTATCTGAGTTTTTTGGTTTTGTTTGTTTTATGGTTTGTTTTTTAAAGTATGATATTTGATCCATGCAAAAGAATACATGCTTATATAAAGAGTAATAATGAGTATCCATCGAGCCCTGGTGGCACAGTGGTTAAGAACTGGGCTGTTAACAAAAGCTCAGCAGTTCAAATCCACTAGCTGCTCCTTAGAAACCCTATGGGGCAGTTCTACTCTGTCCCATAGGATCACTGAGTCAGAGTCAACTTGATGGCAACGGGTAATGAGTATCCATGAACCTACTACCCAACTTAACTAAAATATTACTACTATCATTGACACAAGTTTTTGCTTTTAATGTAGCTCTAATCTGCCTGGGCGATACAAATGGTTAAGCACTCAACTACAAGCAGAAAGGTTGGCGGTTTGAACCCACCCAGAGGTGCCTCGGAAGACAGGCCTGGTGATCTGCTTCCAAAAGGTCACAGCCTTAAAAACTCTATGGAGCACAGCCCTACTTGGACATGCATGGGGTCGCCTTGAGTTAGAATTGACCCAGCAACTAACAACAGCAACAACAAATGATCTGCTAGATTCCTAATTAGCAACAGGAGCGTTCCCTCATTCAGTAAGCTGTCTGTCAAGGCTGAGAAATATTTGGAGTTTGCTCCTTCCTGTACAGGGGACCAGACTTAGAATATGTTTATATCTTATAAATATTAGTGCCTAATAATTCTCATCAAATAAAACTTAAATATAATCATATTTCACTGTGGTAATTTGAAAGTAGAATTCCTTAACGTGATTTGCTTCATTTCTGCACATCACCAAAGAAAATGTGTGCTTATGATTATAATTAATCATAATGTAACTACCATTTCTTGAGTGTCTTGCATGGATTGAACACTTTATAGGCATTATCTCATTATTATTCCCAACTGGAGTGAAGAAGCTAAAAGCTCAGTGAGATCCATCAGCTAATAAATGGCAATGTTGAGACTTAAACCACTTCTGTCTCCAAATGCATCTTCTTTCATACTTGTTACATGTTTCCATTCATTTATCCTACTATTTATTCATTCTCTCATTCATTGAATATCTGTTATGTTTCACAGGTTTTTTAAATAACAGCTTTGTTGACATACAATTCACATACCGTACAGTCCATCCATTTAAAGCATATAGTTCAATGGTTTTTAGTATATTCACAGAGTTGTTCAATAATCACCATGATCAATGTTAGAAAGTTTTCATCACCCTAAAAAGAAACCTAGTACCCTTTAGCTACTACTTCCCAGTCCTTTCTCCAGCCTTAAACCAAAAAACCAAATTCATTGCTGTTGAGTTGACTCCGACTCATAGCAATCCTATAGGACAGAGTAGGACTGCCCCATAGGGTTTCCAAGGAGCGGCTGGTGGATTTGAACTGCTGGCCTTCTGGTTAGCAGCCAAGCTCTGAACCACTGCACCACTAGGGCTCCCTCTCCAGCCTTAGGCAACCACTAATATACCTTCTATCTCCATAGATGCACCTATTCTGAGCAATTCACGTAAATGTCATCATATAGCTTGTGGTCTTTTGTAACTGGCTTCTTTCACTTAGCATAATGTTTTCAAGGTTCATCCACGTTGTGGCATGTGCCAGTACTTCATTCCTTCTTATGACCAAATAATATCCCATTGTATGGATGTACTACATTTTTTTTTTAATCCATTCATCAGTTGATGAACATTTGGGTCATTTCTACCTTTTGACTATTATGAACAGTACTGCTATGAGCATTCATTGTCTAGTTTTTGTGTGGACATATGTTTTTCTTTTTCTTGGTATAAATCTAGAAATGGAATTCCTGGGTCATGTAGTAACTCTATGTTTAACTTTTTGAGGACCTGCCAGACTGTTTTCCAAAGTGGCTGCACCATTTTACATTCCCATCAGCAATATATGAGGGTTCTGATTTCTCCACATCTTTGTCAATACTTGTTATTTTCTGTCTTTTTTATTATAGCCATCCTAGTGGGTATGAAGTGGTATCTCATTGTGGTAGATGAGGATCAGAAGCTCAGAAAGGCTAACTCTCTCACTCCAAATTATATAGCTAATATATGCTGGAGCTTCCATGTGAGCCTAAGTATTTTGATTTTAAGACCAACTCTTTTTATTCGATAGAGCTTTCTTAGGGAATTGAATCAAGGCCCTTTTCCGTGTATCAGAACAAATCTAGATGAGTCCATTCAGCTTTGTACTGGTTTTTCTTTCTTTTTTTTTTTTTAATTCTAGGTGTGTATGTATGTATTTGTTTATTTAGGTATAATTAACATACAAAAAATGAATAAAAAAATGAAATGAATTTTAATAATTGTATATACCCATATAACTACCACCCAAAACAAGATATAGAACATTTCACCCAAAAAAATTCACTCATGCCTCTTCCCAGTCAATCCCTCCTCTCCTCCCCAGGTGGCCAGGTTCTAATTTCTGTCACCAGTTTTGTTTGTTCTTGGGTTTCGTATAAATGAAATCATACAAAATACATTCTTTAGTCGCTGGCTTCTTTTGTTTAACATAATGTTTTTGAGATTCATCGTTGTTGCGAGTATCAGTAGTTTTTCCTTTATATTTGACTGAGTATTATTCCATTATATAAATAAACCACAATTTGTGTATTCATTCTCCTGTTGATAAACATCTGGGTTGTTTCCAGTTCTTGGCAAGTATTATAAATAAGGCTGCTGTAAACATTCGTGTACAATATTTTTGTCAACATATGTTTTCATTTTTCTTTGTTGAATATCTCAGAGTTAAATATTGAGTAC